ACTTCAGGTGTACTTCTGTGGGGGGCAGCATAATTCCCCCTGTGGATTGGGCCACTGGATCACGGGTCTGTGCTCACTCACTTCTTTCCCTGGGCTCTACTGATGACCCTCATTGTGTCAATGCAGTCAAGTGTCAGTGGGCCACCTGCTCAGCAGTGGTGGCTGCTGCTATGGCAACCTTGTGGCAGTGGTAGCTGTGGTGGACCACTTGCATGGCAGTGGTGTCTTTGGCAGTGCTGGACTGCCTGCATGATGGCACCCCATGCTGTTCCTGCTTTCTGTCAGCAGTGGCTTCCCTCAGCTCATGAAGGTCCCCAGACTTCTGCCATCAGTTCCTATCCATCACATATATATATAAAACCAGCAATCATATGTTGAATACAGGGGCTATAGTGTGTTTTTTCCATTTTTATATGAATTTTAGTAATTTGCAGGTAATATTACATTTGTTTAGGTAGATTTTGTTGGGGACTCTGCCATGTTCTGAAGACAGCTACCTCAGAAATAGCGTGAGTTTAACTTTCTTAGTATTCATATCTATTTATGTCACTCTACTGTAGCGTCTATATGAACCTAAACTTAAAAAATATGAGCTATAATGTTAGATAGAAAGTTGCATAAAATATAAATGTAGAGCTTAAAAAGTAAATATTCAGGTCAAGAAATTTGAGTAGAACATTGCCAAAATTGTTTTCAATCACAATCCTTTTCCTCTCTTTTATAGGTAAGCACTATTCTGATTTTTATGATAATCACATCCTTGCTTTTCTTTATGGATTGTTAAATCCTCCTGATGAAATGACCCTTTACCATTATAAAATGTCTCTCTTATCCCTTGTGTTCTCATTCTAAAATCTTCTTTGTCTGATTTTAGTATAGTGATTCTAGCTTTCTTTGATTCATGGATGCGTAGTATGTTTTTTTCCATCCTTTATTTTTAAACTCTGTGTCTTTATGCTTAAGAGGGTTTCTTATAGATAGCATAAAAGTGGATCTAGCTTTTTTAATCCAGTCTGACAATTTCCGCCTTTTAACTGGGCTGTTTAGAATTTTTACATTTATTTTCACTATCAATATCGTAGTTAAATTTACTCTCTCGCTATTTGTTTTCCACTTATCCCATCTGTTCTCTGTTTCTCTTTCACTCTTTCCCTACCCTTTGTTGCATGAATTGACTTGATTTCAGTTGCATTTTAATACAATGGGCCTCAAAAGAAACACATCATTTATAGTTTTAAATAGAGTATCTTTTATTATTGGTCCAGATTAGCAAGATTTTTACTATGCTAATTATCACCATAAATTCTTATGGTAGTGCACACTTTCCTTTAATGTATAAGATTTAGTGCGTAAGCTTTGAGTCCTCACTTTTATTCTTTTATTACCTTTTGAATATACCTGCTCTATTCTCTCCTGCCTCTTCTTTAATATCCATGTTGCTTAAGTTGCACACTTTCCTTTAATGTATAAGATTTAGTGCGTAAGCTTTGAGTCCTCACTTTTATTCTTTTATTTCCTTTTGAATATACCTGCTCTATTCTCTCCTGCCTCTTCTTTAATATCCATGTTGCTTAAGTTATACTAATTTTTAAATTACAGTGTCTGTTTTTATGCCAGTACCATACTGTTTTGGTTATTATAACTTTGTAGTATAATTTGAATTCAGGTAGTGTTATGCCTCTGGATTTATTTTTTTTGCTCAGAATTGCTTTGGCTATTAAGGATCTTTTGTTGTTCCACATGGACGCTGAGATAGTTTTTGTCATTTCTGTAAAGAATGTCATTGGTATTTTGATGGGTATTTCATTGAATTTGTAGATTGCTTTGGGTAGTATAGACATTTTCACAATGTTAATTCTTCCAATCCAAGAACATGGAATGTCTTTCTATCTTTTTGTGTCTTCTTTAATTTCTTTCAATAGTGGTTTGTAGTTTTCATTGTAGAAACCTTTCACCTCCTTGGTTAAATTGATTCCTATGTATTTTAATTTTGTGACTGTTGTAAATGAGCTTACTTTCTTGATTTCTCTTTCTGTTAGCTCATTATTAGAGAATATAAATATAAAAATATAAAATAATATAAAAAATATAAAATACAACTGATTTTGGACATTTATTTTGTATCCTGCAATCTTATTATTAACAGCTCTGAAATTGTTAACCAGCTGTAAAAATAGACAATTGGACTTGTGGAGCAGAATAGAGAACCCAGAAATCACCTCTCAGGCTTACAGCCATCTGATTTTTGACAAAGGCAACAAAAACATACAATGGGGAAAAGACTACCTCTTTAATAAGTGGTGCTGGGAAAATTGGATATGTAGAAATAAAAGTAGACAGGCACCTCTCATGTACTAAAAATCAACTCAAAATGGATTAAAGACTTAAATATAAGACCTGAAATTGTAAAATTACTAAGGGAAAATATAGGTGAAACATTTCAGGAACTAGGTCTGGGCACAGACTTTATGAACATGAGCCCCAAAGCACAAGCAACAAAAGAAAAAATAAACAACTGGGACTATATCAAACTAAAAAGCTTCTGCACAGCAAAGGAAACAATCAACAGAGTAGAACAACAACCTACAGAATCGGAGAAAATTTTTGCTAACTAGGCATCCAACAAGGGATTAATATCCAGAATATACAAGGAACTCAAGCAATTACACAGTAAAAAAACAAATAACCCAATTAAAATGTGGGCAAAGGAACTGAATATACATTTTTCAAAGAAGACATACAAATGGCCAACAGGTACATGAAAAAATGCTCAGCATCACTAGTCATCAGGGAAATGCAAATTAAAGCCACATTGAGATATCATCTCACCCCAGTTAGACTGGCTACAATCAAAAAGACTGAGAATAACAAATGCTGGTAGGATGTAGAGAGAAGGGAATGCTCCTACACTGTTGGTGGGACTGTAAATTAGTACAGCCACTATGGAAAACAGTATGGAGGTTTCTCAAACAACTGCAGATAGATCTTCCATATGACCCAGCAATCCTACTTCTGGGTATATACCCAAAGGAATGGAAATCATCATGTCGGAGGATACCTGCACTCCCATGTTCATCGCAGCTCTGTTCACAATAGCCAAGATATGGAACCAACCTAAATGCCCATTGATGGACAACTGGATAAGGAAAATGTGGCACATATACACCTTGGAATACTATTCTGCCATAAAGAAGAATGAAATTCTCCCATTTGAAACAACATGGATGAGCTTGGAGAAACTCATGTTGAGTGAAATAAAGCACAGAGGGATAAATATTGTATATACTCACTCATAAATGGGAACTAAGAGAGAAAGAAGGAAGGAAAGAAAGACCACAATGGTGTTATGTTGGACTTGCAGAGGCAGAGAACATACCTATGGATACAAAGTGGAGTGGGGGAAAGGGGATGGGAAGGGAGGTCAGGGATGACTGGGGGAGGGTATTTGGGTGGGGGACGGGTTATAATCACAATTTGTGGTAATGGGCATGCTGCCAGTATGGATCTGGCCATCACATCTTAAGCATGAGTCGTGACAATTTGCTTTGGACCCCATGAATATTCGTAACCAGTTTAAAAAAATGTTAAAAAAATTGCTTCAATGAAAAAAAATACAGTTCTCGGGTTTTTTTTTTTTTTTTTCCTTTTTTGTCTTTTTTACTGAC